TTATTTCGTTTAATGGAGTAGAAGAGCGGCGGGTTACCAATTCTCCTGTCATAACGTGTTCTATCCCCAAGCAGAATTCGAGGATTTATTTTCCTCATCCTCGGTGACAATCATAAGGATATTGTTTCTACCCAACCAAAGTTCACAAAAATCTGCAATCATCGAACTACTGACTTTTCTATAGAGTTATCGTTGCCCTTAGCTACAGTTGCATCCGTGCATCATTTACAATATATCATGGCATATAAACATAAAAAATTATATAGTATTCTCATTTATTTTGAGAGCACCATTAAGAAATTCATTCTTACATCATGACATTACATAAAATTAACCTTGTTTCAGGATACTTCGTAACCAGACGAATATTTCCAAAGTTCTCTATGACCAGACAGATATTTCTAATAGATTTTGTAAGCAAACATGTTGTTATACGGAAGAACAAGACCAGGCGTTACTTCATCTGTGACCAGACGAATATTTCTCAACGTGACCAAACATTACCATATTCGTGACCAGACGAATATTACTCAACATGACCAGACGTTACTTCATTCGTGACCAGACGAATGTTTCGCAACATGACCAGACGTATACTTCTCAGCATGGCTAGACATTATTTCGTTCGTAAAAAAATGAATACTCCTCTACGTGATCAGACGTTTGTTTCCAACATGCGACCAGACGTTATATCTCTACGTGACCATACATTATTTCCAACATGCGACCAGGAAATATATCTCTATGTGACTAGATGTTATTTCCAACACACGACCAGGCGGTATATCTCTATGTGACGAGACGTTATTTCCAACATGCAACCAAGCGTTATCTCTTTACATGTGACCAAGCATTATTTCTCTACAAGATCAGGCATTATTCCTACGAGTGGCCAGACGTTATTTTCGGCATCAGGCAGAGCCCCTCCGTAGTTTAATTCATCTGTAAGTATCCAGTTCCTCGCGACCAGGCGATATACAGTTTCTTTGGATGACATCTTTAAGACCATCCCCAATGGTATATCTGATAAACGATTACCAACTAACCAATGGTGTTTTCGTGAGCATTTACGAGTGCAAATTTCTGGGCACTTATGGGTATTCAATCCTCTTCCACCCTCAGATCATGAAAGGCGGTCACACCAATCTCACTCTTAGGATTTAAGAAGATTGAACAGGGGTAGCTGTTGTAACCCAAAACTTGCCCTCCTATTTTTAAGACTTTAAGACACATCCTTATGATCATAGAGCCTCAAAAACTCAAAACTTCTCAAAGATTGATCAAATGAACCATCCTCCTAAGCAGTGTGCTAAAAATTAAGGTTTTGGTTTTCTCAAGGGAAATTGGACTTCTATAACATCAAGTGGACTTCATAGATCATCATATGTATCAAAGTATCCTCATACCAAGTTTCAAGCTTTATAGTGCAAGTTTGCCCAGTCAACTGGTTAGATACCTAAAAATCAGTTGTATTGGACAAAAAGTCAACTTTGACCAATTGGTAATCAAACTTCACCATTTTTGGTCAACATCAAGATTTTGAGATCATATTCACCATTTGATGCTCAAGGCCAAAAATGCTTCATTTGATAGACATAGGTCAATACATTACAGGTCCTTCAAAAAGTCAACAAAAAGACATATTTTCTCATGAAAATTTACACAAATTTAGAAGCTTCAAATCAAAAAGTGGTGAACATGAAAGTTTTAGGAGACATCTTGAGATTTCCAAAAAGTCTTAGATCACCTTCATATATGGAAAATTGAGTGAGATATGTCTTGTGGAAGTTGGTCTATTTTTGGGAAGTACATGAAATCTCTATTGAACAAACTTAAGTTTTAGAACCAATGGGCTTAACATTTGGTGTCTAAACTCACTTATGATATATTAGAGGACTCCTAAACCCTTCCAAACATGGCCATGAGCTTAATGTCATTTTATTTCAAGTTTTACTCAAATTTTTCAAAGGAAGCAAGTTGAATTCTCAAGCCAATGGGTCAATACATGTATTAATTCCATTTGGATCAGATTCAAAAGCCCAAAACCAGTCTTGGAAAGCAAGGAAATCGTGTGGATCAATTAGAATCAATTTGTTTTCAATTTTGGAAAGTTTGGAACATAATTTGATTTTATTTGATTCAAACCATAACTCAAGAATATTTAACCTAATATCCATGCTTCTATATATACACAAACACTTAGAATCCCAAGGACACGAATTTAGATGCAAGAGAATAGGGTTTCAAAGAGAAAAAATCTTCAAATTTTCTTCACATTAGAATTTAAAATTCCAAACAATTTCAAAGTAATCCAAGGTTTCCAATCACTCCCTAAAGGTCTAAGGAACATTTCTAGACTCATAGCCAATCAATTCACCATCTGAAACAAGCCCAACCACTTTCTTCGATTGGTAAGATTCTTGATTCTTAAATCTATCATTCCATGTGTGTTTCATAGTTACTAACTGCCCAGATCTTCATATGTACTCCCTCCATTCCTATTTATAAGAAAATTTTAACTTTTTAGGTTCATTGAATAGTTGATGTATCTAACCAATATATAGTCTAAATACATCATTTATTTAATGAATCTAAAAAGTCAAAATTTTCTTATAAAAGAGAATGGAGGGAGTACGTATTTAGAGCAGGTTTCAAGCATCACATGAAGCTTATAACGTTAAAATTGTGATTTGCCATTGATGAACCGTGTTAGGATTTTTTTTCTTCAAAACTCAATCACAAGGACTTTTAGCCAAAACTAAGCTCATATTTGGATTCAGGAGGGACAAATTATGGGGGTAGGGTACTTGTGTTGTTTTTATTCCTTTGATTTTGCAGGTTTCAAAAATTAATCCGTCTGAGAAGACGGTTGTTTCAGCCACACACGGTGGCGCTGAGTGACTAGAGACAGGCGTGGTGTTTTCAAGCAAACTGATTGGCCAGTCAAAAACTTGAGCGCCCTCTCTTCACTTTTGATTGGATCACGCGTGACTCCTGGGTCCCACTTTGACTTGCTTTTGAATTATAATCAGAAAATCTTGTTTTATTATATAACAATTTGTTTGTGATTTAATAACACAAAAGCAACGCAGCGCATATGACAAGGGGGAAGCTTCAATAACTTTGCAAACCTGGGTTCGATCCCCAGGGTTTGCAACCTTTGTTTTTCCTTCTTATTTCTAGTTCTTTGCTATTTTTTTTCTTTTGTTTTCTTTTTTTAAATATAATTATCCTTTTTTTATATTTTCTTTTTATATAAAATTAAATAGGAAAATAAATTAGACTTAAGTTTTTATTTAATTCATTCATTTTTGGATAATTTTTAATTTAATTTTAATTAAATTTATGTTTTTTTATATAATTAACTATATAATTAATCTAGGTTTTAATAATTATTTTTAGCATGTAAAAAATCAATTCAAAAAAATACAAAGAAATTAGGGTTAGCACACTTGGACATTTAGGATTCTAGAAAATATTTTTCCATAATTAATTTATAGGTCTAGGTATTTATTTTCAATTTAATCTAATTAAGAGTAATTTGGAATTTTCACATCATAACTAAGGTTTTAGAAATTAGGATTTTTGAGTCACCATCCTTCTCATATTTTTTCTTATTTTGATTAATGGTTCTTATTTTTTATTTCAGTTTATTATATTTATTTCCTACTTAGATGGTTGTATATGATTTCGTATCAAAGTTGTAATAGTTCAATTAGCTTTATTTTCCGTAAGTTTATTATGTATCTGCCCCAAAGTCTTGTAATAGTCTAATTAGATTTACATTACGCACTTTATTTTTCGCATTATTATTGTTTGTATGCTTGACCTGCCTGTATGGTTATAACTGTTAATTAGGATTTTAGGGCAATATTAAAAATAACTTAGAAAATCTTAATAACAAGATAAATAACTGAATTGAATCAATTGCACACTTGCACCTCTTAGGGTAATCTCTTTTGTTGTCTTCAGAATAATTTGACCATGTCCCTCGAATTAGGAGTATCTTAGCAAAGTCTCACATTAAATTAATCATCAAGTCCCTTCGATAAAAAGATCATTGTCCCTCGATGTCCCACGGGTTGCCTTACGATAAAATGATCTTGTTCCTCGATGACCCTTCGACTAATGATAATTGTCCCTTCGAATGTTGCTAAGGTCTCCAAAGGTCGCCTTCAATGATCAAAAGTCCCTTCGATTGTCTCGTACCTCCAATAGAAAGGATTTCCTACTAACTAATGGTATGGATAATCTTTTCTCCCGAAAGTAAGGAAAGAACAGGAAATCTTTACAAATTAGTAGGTAGTTCTTAATTGCTTGCTAATAAAACAATCTTTCGCACTTCACTCCACATTTCAAACTCCCTTCAAAATTTCTCAAAACAGACATGAGATATTTTCTAAGTTGCTTATTGTGGCTATTTTCCCTTTTCAAACTCTTCAAACACTTCACACATTTTCTCAAAACAAACAAAATGAACAAGTAATTAAGAGCTCGTAGATAATTACGGATGTAAAAGGTGCTAACACATTTTCTTTACATAACCTACCCCCAAATCTAACTCTTTTATAAAAAATAAAAAAGTCTTTCCTTTTCTGGCTTTCTCTTACGATTGAATAAAAGAAAAGTTAATAACGATTATTGCTAACCGCGATATTTTTCCACCATTACAGCTAGTAACATGATTTGAGTTTGATTTATAATGGTTAGATAATATTTTCATCTACAATCAACTAGTTTAATGACATCTACAAAACATAATTTAAAATACAACTAAAAAGCATATCTTAATCTTAGAGTCAGTGAATATTTCAAACCATAAATATTTAAGAGTAACAACATACATAGAAACTAATTTCATTTCATTTTGAATTGTAAAAGAACAATATAGGATGTTTAATACTACTAAACTTTGAAACTGCCCTAAATATATAGATAAAAATTAACATAAATTTTTTTATTGAATTTTCAATATAGCAACCAACCACATGAATCTAAAACTAGACCTCTTTAACACCACCAACAGTTCCATTGACTTTGTTAATCTCTTTCACACCACTTGATTTCTCTTCAACTTCAAAAGCAGAAACTGGGAAAGTTCTAGAAAGTCCAGCAGGAGTTTGGAAAGTGACTTTCCCAGTTGGTGGATCATCAACATAAATATCACTTAGTGTGATCCAAATGAAAAGCTCTTTGGTTTTCACACCATTCAGTTTCTTAATCTTACCTTTCTCAACATGAGAGTGTGACTTCAGTAGCATAAGAAACAAGTTTTCCAATCTTTTCAAACTTGTGTGTTATGCTTTTCTTCTGTTTCAACCAAACAAAACCGGTGTATCTGTTGTAACCAACTTCAATGATGTCTTTCAATGGTAACAAACCATTCGGGAGAGCAATTTCTTTCGGAAGCTCTTTTGATTTCAGTTGACATTGTTTTGAGTTGTTATTGAATAAATGGTTTTACGACTGTTCTTGATTTGCTTTGTTGTGTGGTTTCAATAGGTTGTGGTTGGGTTCTTATATACATCTTATTTTGTGAAAAATAAATAATTTGAGCATATGGATGCCTTTAAATTAATTGGGTAGGTATTTATTGTCCAATTAAACAATGCCACATCAATTTTAACTGAAAATATAGAATTAAAATGATGATAATAGGTGTTTAGAGCATCGTAATTAAAATTGGATCGGTCAGTTTAATCGATTGGATCGGAAATTAGAATTTCAATTGATTTATTGGATTTGAAAACTGACATATATAAGAATCATAATTTAAATCGAAAGATCAGTCAAAAATCGGTTAAAAACCAGAAATTTTGGATTTTAAGCAATTTTTTAAGATCGAAATAGATTTTAGTTTTGGTTTATAAAAATATCATAAAAATTTTCATTTTGAATCAAAATAATACATGATTTAATTTTCTTTAACCTTTCTGTAATCACTCTAGTACATATTTTTGTAGAAAAATCAAAGTAAAAATTATTTTAATTTTTTTTGTTATTCTTTAATTATTTGATGAATAAAAATAAATTTTATATAATAATATATAATAGATAAATATGATAAAATATACTTCAGCATATAAAAAATGACAAAACAATATTATTATTACTATTATTATTATTATTATTATATTAAAATAAATTTTTTTGAACTTATCTATATAATTTATTAAAAATATAAAAAGCTATAAAAAAATTAAAAAGACTATTAAGTATTAATTATTAAAAAACTATTAATAAATTATTGTATTATTTAAAACTATAATTATTTTTATACATTATTATTTTTATATATAATAAAAATAAAAAATAGATATTTATATATATCTGATTCAACTCGGGTTCAACCTCGATCAAACCTTAAAGCCCTAAATTCATAGTTATACCGGTTTGATATTTGGTCTGGTTTTAATTACTTTGGTTTAAAGATATCTATTATATAAAATTATAAAAATCTAAATACTTGAAAATATCACGTATAACCTTCTAACTATAAATTATAATTTTTCTGATTTCAAGGATAAAAGTGACTTCTTACTACCTTGTTTTAACTATATTCATTTGATATTAAATGCGTTTGATGTGTTATTATATCAATTATTATGAATATTATTTATTTATTTTAATGTCTAATTTTAATCTATCTAATCTAATAAAATAATACACACTCATACTATCAATTATTTGGAAAACTTTTTCATTATCCTTTTGAGAAAATAAAATTCTCTCTCCTCGATGCATGCACGGGAAACATAACCAGCACAATTAAAATTTGAAAACCTTTTCATTATTCTTTAGGAATGACAACATATTCTCTCTTTTAACGCTCTGCAACCATTATGTCATTAACGCTCTGCAATCAATATCTTTTTCCCATAATCCAAACTACCCCTAATCAATCACCTTCTTCCCACACAATTAACGATCTGCTGAGGAAGCAACCACGATATCTTCATGTTACCGTCGTCGCCAAAACAAATTCGACGAACCACCAACCTCCACTACTGAAATGTGACGACTAAAGCAAGCTCAAATACGGTTCAAGAAGATATTGTTGTGTATGCGTCAATCCTTTCAGAAAGCACCATCATTATCAATAAACTTCTGTCACAAGTGAAGTTAATTATCATTCTCGTCACATGGCAACACAAACCGAACCAAAGAAGATCATCATTGATACCGATCCTAGAATTGGTAATTATTATTATTCATCAATCTATACACATTTTTGGGTTTCCGATTCAATTTCTTTCATTTCAGATTTTTCATTGTTCTTCCATTGCTGTTCTTTTGTGTAGGTGATGTTATGGCTATATTCCTAGCTCTAAAATCACCAGAGATACATGTTATTGGACTTACAACTATCTATGGAAACGTTTATACTACTCTTGCAACCAGAAATGCCTTGCATTTGGTAATTTTTTTGTTTTTGAGGTTGTTTATGTTTCTATTCATGGATTTGTATTTGTTAACTATTGATGAAATTGAGTTTTGAATTTTGATACTCAATTTGCATGTGTAGTTGGAAGTTGCCGGAAGAACTAATATACCAATTGCTGAAGGATCTCATATCACATTAACTGTAAGTTTGTTATAACTCATCTTTATTTTGATTACAATTTTATTTTGTAGTCCTTTTGTTGTGAGACTATGTTTGGATTTATAGAATCGGATGAAACTGAGTGATATGTTGGAAATAAGACCTTTTATATTAAGGAGAAGTGTGTGGGAATATTGAAGGTTTGAATATAAATTTGCTAAGTAGGATAATTCTTTATGGAGGAGAAGAACTTTGTATTTTTGCTTGATACAAATGTGTGAGATTACATATCTATTTATAGTACTCTAAGGAGAACTCTAGACACACTAATTCTAGAGAGTTCTCAACTCTGGAGATCCAAAGACTATTCTAGAAAATATTACAATTATAAGAAATATCTAGAGATTCCAAATATTACCAGAATTCTCTAGAAAACTACTTAAGCCCAAAAACCAATTAATAAATTTAGGCCCAAATCAAGTTTAATATTTTCAACATCCCCCCTTAAACTTGATTTGTGACTCCAAGCATACTCCTTAGCTTCACGAAAGTTTTCAACTTTAGTGGCTTGGTGAAAATGTCGGCAGCTTGATCTTGAGACATTACATACTTCAACTTCACCTCTTTTTTTTCAATGCATTCTCTTATGAAGTAGTAACGGGTGTCGATGTGCTTACTTCTTTCATGAAAGACTAAATTCTTTGCCAAAGCAATTGCTGATTTATTATCAACACATATTTCCATTGGATCTTCTTGTGGCATTTTTAACTCTTTCAACAAGTTTCTTAGCCAATTGCATGACAAACGCATGACGTGGCAGCGACATACTCGACTTCACAAGTTGATAGTGTGACTATTGGTTGCTTCTTTGACATCCAAGTGAAAGCAGTATCTCCCATAAAGAACACATAACCAGTATTGCTCTTCCTATCATCCAAGTCTCCACTCCAATTGTTATCACTATAGCAAACAATCTCATAATTATTAGAAGAGTAATAGTGCAAGCCAAAGTTAGTTGTACCTTTAATGTATCTAAGGATTCTCTTTGCCGCCTTGAAGTGAGTTGTTTTTGGAGCTTCCATGTATCGGCTTACAACTCCTACAGCATAGAGAATATATGTCCTTGTACTTGTTAAGTAACGTAGACTTCCAACCAAAATTTTGTAAAGAGTTGGATCCATATTCTCCCCATTTTCATGCTTGCTTAACTTGCTACCACATCCCATCGGGGTGCCAACTGGATTGACATCATTCATCTTGAACTTCTTAATGACTTCTTTGGCATAACCTTCTTGGGTGATGAAAATTCCTTTGTCGTCTTGCTTTACTTCCATGCCAAGATAATATGCCATGAACCCCATATTTGTCATCTCAAATTCATTTGACATGTCTTTATTGAACTCTTCGAACATGCTTGGATTATTCCATGTGAAAATCAAGTCATCTACATACAAGCACACAATTAAGATATCTCCACTTTGCGCTTTGATATAGAGTGCATGCTCATATGGGTACTTGATGAAGTTCTTGTCTTGAAAGTACTTGTCGATTCAAACATTCCAAGCTCTCAGTGCTTGCTTGAGACCGTACAATGCTTTCTTCAACTTCAAGACTTTTTCTTCTTTCCCTTTTACTTCATAGCCTAGTGGTTGCTCGATATAAACTTCTTCTTCGAGAAAACCATTCAAGAAGGCTGATTTCACATCCATTTGATAGATCTTCCATTCATTTTGGGCTGCCAAGGAAATGATCAGTCTAATAGTTTCAAGACGAGCAATAGGAGCAAATACCTCATCATAGTCAATTCCTTGTCTTTTACTATAGCCTTTCGCCACCAATCTTGCTTTGTATCTCTCCACATCTCTTTTTGCATTCTTATTTGCCTTGTACACCCATCTTACTCCAATTGCTTTATGTCCTTGTGGAAGTGTAGTAAGTTCCCATGTATCACTCTTCGTGATAGACTTGATTTCTTCGTCCATGGCGTCTCTCCACTTTATGTTTTCTACCGCTTCTTGATAGCTTAGAGGCTCACAATCACCAAAAAGACAAAAGAGGTTAATGTCATTTTGGTTTTCGGTTACCTTATAAAGCTCTTTAATGCTCCTTAGTCATAGTGTCTTCTCACTTGAACTTGTTTCATCCAACCTTGGTGTCGGTGAGGAAGGTGGTGTAATATGTTCCTTTATCATTGGTTGTTCCATTTCTTCTTCTTCTTCTTCAAAGTAAGGAAGAAAGTCATACTTGTCTTCTTGAGCACTCCAATCCCAATAATATTTTTCTTCAAACTCCACATCATGACTTATGATGATCTTTCCACTATTTGGGTTATAAAGCTTGTACCCTTTAGAGCTTGAGTCATAACCCACAAACATATACTTCTCACTTTTATTATCGAGCTTTGTTCTTCTTTCATCTGGAACATGGGTATAGGCAATGCTTCCAAATACTTTGAGGTGAGAGATCCTAGGTTTCCTTCCACTCCATGTTTCTTGGGGTGTCTTTTCATGCACGCTTCTTATTGTGGAACAATTTGTCAAGTAAACTGCACATGCCACTGCTTCGGCACAAAACTCCTTCGGCATCTTCTTGCTCTTGAGCATGCTCGTACCATGTTAAGTATAGTATGATTCTTTCTCTCTGCTATTCCATTTTGTTGAGGAGATATTAGTACAGTCAGTGGGCGACGGATTCCATGGTCTTCACAATATTTGTTGA